GAGGTTATGACTGTTGTTGTATTTTAAATTTCTGTTTTCTATTTTTATTTTTGTACCCCCTCCCCTTCTGATTGTTAGCCGCCCTGAGTCTTCCGGGAATAGGGCGGCAGACAAGTCAAATAAAACCTAAACTAAATGAATGGTTTTAAGTCAAGGACCACCTGTAATACAGAAGGTATTTCTTGCCCAATTAGAGGGTGCAATCTGTAATTTAGGATTCCATGTAGCCTCTAAACTCCTTTTCCCTCTGATACATCAGATAAACAAGGGCTACCTAGAAATACGGCTAAGTGTGTTTGGATAGGTTAGTATTCTGCTGGTAGAAAAGATAAATGAAAAAGGAAAGGGTGGCAGGTTATATCAGTGAAAAGTGCACTTACCCTTCCCAGGTCACATACCTCCATGTCCTACATATTGTTTTGATATATTTTTATTCATTTATTTATTTATTAAATGTATATGCTGTGCACCTCATTGTCAAAGACTCTATAAGCATTTGAAATAAGATTTGAGTTTTTATTTTTCTACCATCATTTTGCCTGTTTTAATCAATGCCCTTTAAGTATACAATATTTTTTTAAAAAATAGACCCCCCTTGGCTAGTCTGTTAAGAGATCAGGAGGGACAAAGTACCTTTAAATCTGTTATAATAAATTCCTTCCTTCCTAATGCTTCATCAGATGGGACTGACTATGGGCTTTGTGATGGAGACATGGAAGCCTCCTATGCCACAGTGAAGAGCATGGCAGAACAAATAGACGCTGATGTAATTCTCTTGCGAGAGCACCAAGAAGCAGGAGGCAAAGTACGTGATTATTTGGTGCGGAAACGTGTGGGTGACAACGATTTCCTAGAGGTCAGGTAAGAAAAGATGTGGAGGCTTGCTTAGTCAACATGATATCTGCTGCTGCAGCTTGTACTAGTAGTGGCAGAAAGCTGGTAACTCTGGTTTGACTATGGAAGTAATTTGGTGTAATTAATTTTTTTCTCCTTTCATGCTATGCATAGAAACTTATGGTTGGGACTAAGAGTATATATTCTTATAAAGAAGTGTCTGAATGGCAGTTATTATTGTTAGAACATTGCAAGTTGTATTTTTCATATACAAGAAAAGGCAAAAAAATTACTTTCTTTATGACTAACTACTTTCAACTAACTTTTAAAGGGTTGACTTAAACTGTATTATTCATTTATGCTGTTATTTTTTACTGTGGACAGACACAGCATATTAAACTAAAACATAGTTTTACTTGGTTTGGGTATAGTATTCTGGTGAGCTCAGCCACTCAACAAACCAGTATTATGTATGAAACAGGTCATGGAAACATGCTTATGATGAGAGTTTAAACCCATTTGGAAGCATTCCATGAATCTGCATTTTCAGATTAAAAGTTGATGCTGGTGTCTTAAGTTGTTCACCTTTTTCTTATCTTTACTCAGTTGGCACATAGCAGCTCTTGAAATTTGATCCTGACGCTTAAGAACTGGAAATATTTTTCCAGTTTTGTTTAATAGTAATTGGTGAGTATCAAGATGAAAAACGTATGCCATTCTTATTAGCTTTATGGAAATATAGTAGGAACTTGGAATGTAGTTAAGAATTTCCTCTAACTCAATTCTAACTTGCAATTCATTGGCAAATGCTATTTATACAGTCTTCTTCACCCTTCGTCTCCAAAATGTATGTGGTTAGTGGGGTATCTTTAAAACACATAAAGTTGATGTACACATTAAAAGGTAAAGTTATAAATTCAGATTGATTTCTAGAGACCTCATGAATGTGTGCAAGTTGTTTTCTTGGTCACAGTATAGAAGTGGTTCACCAGTGCTTACTTTTGGGGCTGCTATTGTCTTCCCACGACAGTTTTGGACTCCTGTGATGATCTCCCAACCAAGTATTAAATAAGTCTGATCCATTTAGTTTTTAAGGTAAGCAAAGATTGACTATGCTAGTTCCGTGCAAATCATTTAGTGAGAGCTTCCTTAATGAGTATAACACTCTATTGGATCCATTTTAATTTTTTTTAAAAAACCTAGTTAATTGAAGGGTCAAGACAGCATGTTTGAGATGCTCTTAAGATCTGCAGGGCATCTATAAGGGTTATTTTCACTCAGGTTGTGATTGTGACTGTGTCAGTGTAGAAAATTTGCAGATGGGTATAGAACTAACATCCCATGTGCCAGTTGTATACAGCAGGGGCTCTGTGAATGTGTACTGATATATTCACATTGTGCAATGGGCAGTCAAGAAAGAAAATAGCCCAACTTGCTTAAGGATTTGGCCATTATATTAGTGATTCAGTATCTGTGAAAGCACAATTCCTTGTAGTGTTTCCTACATTATGACAGCAGTCTTCTTTATCCTATAGCCTGTAGGAGGAGTTGTATCCTCAACTTTCATTTGGTGAGCATTGGAGGTTACAGTGGCGCTGAAAAAAGTGACATGATCATTTTTCTCACAATTGTAGCATCTGCATGGTCATGTGTTCAAAATATGGCCGCTTGACCACTGGCTCATATTGCAGTGTCCCAGGCCCATGTGATCACCTTTTGCGACCTTCTGACAAGTAAGGTCAATAGGGAAGTCATATTCAATTATGGTCATAAATAGAGGACTACCTGTATAACTTCTAGTTGGCCTAATCAATAATGGGAATTATAGTCCAACATTGCTAGTAGGAGGATTCAGATTGGGAAGGGTCATGCAGGAATATTTAATTTCCAAAAGGGAATATGCTTTTCTGAATTCTCAGTTTCCTGCTTTGAACTTGGTTCCAGGTCTGATGGACATATTCAAGTTGTTGGAGTTTGATGGCTAACTTTTTTCAAATTTATAAATTTTTGAATCAAACTTTGATTCAAATTTCTTCTTCCCCAAATCTCTCCCCATATCCACTTTCGGCAGTAGTAGAGTTAGGCATTAAGATATAGAAATTGGTCAAGGATTCACAAAAATCACTTGGTGATTTGTTTGGTTGTATCACTCCAGCTCATCTCAATCTACCTCATAGTTGTTGATATCAGATAAAATTAGAGGAATACTCTGGTGAGAAAAAGCAGGATGGAAATGCAATAAATTACTACTAAGGAATGATAAATTTCAGTATCTCATTGTACAATATGTTATGCTGCAGATATATTACTTACAGCATAAGACATGGTAGCTTTTAGCAGTTGTGCTAGCTCTGAAGAGTTGTAAGACAGAAATTGTAACCCTAGGATATTCTCATTGTGTTGGATTTAGGTTTGAATGAAGACACTGGTGTTTGGGAAATAATTTTGGTACTAATTATGTCATTGTGCACATCCTTATGAGATGTCAATGTTCTAACAATGGCACTGGTGACTTTTTCCTCCTCTTAGTCTTAGTTGTTTATGTTTTATGTGATGTAGAAACTGGTGATTGGAACCTTATGGAGTAGTTCTTAAAATATATGTTGCAACATTCTGAATATACTGCTGATTTTCATTCGATAGTGACAGAAGGAAATTGATTCCAATTGTTGCATTGATGTCAAAAAGTTTACCACTTTCTTTTGCCTTCCTATAGGGTAGCAGTGGTTGGCAATGTGGATGCTGGGAAGAGCACTTTGCTGGGGGTTCTTACCCATGGTGAACTGGACAATGGACGTGGTTTTGCTCGGCAAAAACTTTTTCGCCACAAGCATGAGATTGAGTCAGGCCGTACCAGCAGTGTGGGCAATGACATCTTGGGCTTCGACAGCGAAGGCAATGTTGTGAACAAGCCTGACAGCCATGGTGGGAGTTTGGAATGGACCAAGATTTGTGAGAAATCAACCAAAGTCATAACCTTCATTGACCTGGCGGGGCACGAGAAGTACTTAAAGACTACAGTGTTTGGCATGACTGGGCATCTCCCTGATTTTTGCATGCTAATGGTAAGCTATGCTAATTGTAGGAGAAGGGGTTTGTGGTAAAGCAGCCCTTTTCTAACATTCTTGACTTACTAACGAATGGACTATTCCTGGATCACCAGAGACTTTTCGGGCATCTCTGGGATCGACAGGATATGCCCTTTCCTATCACCGTCTCTTTGGGACGGTTTAGGTCCAGTTGGACCGTCCTGTGGCTGGAATTTCGGCGGTGGTCTCAGAGCTCCAAGATTGACCATCGTGTCACTGCGACGTCAGCTTCCGGTCTTCTAACATTCTTGACTTACTAACAAATGAACAGTTGAATATAATTTATATTATAAATAACAGCAATAAGAGTAATAATAACAACAGCAACAACAACAATAATAATAACACGGTAGAATTTACATACTAAAACTGTTTTTACCAAACTGAATGTTGGGAACTTCAGTTATCTGTCTTCTGCTCATGAAACTGTGTTTTGTGGCTTTTCTTGATTTTACATGATATTTCTCAGCCTAACTTTGTTTTTGAATTGTACAGAATGTATTTTATTTTATTTTTTTGAATTTATATGTCACTCATTTTGCTATCAAGAGTGACTCTGGGCAGCTTATAATATGCATGAAAGTTGCTGCTCAAATACAAAATGTAAACTTAGTAGAAATATCTCTTTGCCATATGGAACAATCCCAAAGACATCAGTGATAATGCATGTAAAACATGTAAACATTGGGTCCTACTGGCTTATTGAACATCACAAAACAAAAAAGAAACTTTGTGATGGTAACTTAATAAGAATTGATTTAGGTTATTTTTGTATCAGTGACTTTTCTGACAGTAGCAAGCAAGCAGTTTCCCTTTGTCTTTTGGTGTGCTGATTGTGATGTGCATAACCCATCTTAAAATAAAGGGAAGCTTGGGAATTGCTTGAACACAAAGAGCAGATACTACAGGGAAGTTTTTAAATGAGGAAAAATGCTTTTTAGATAACATTTTGAATATTTAGTTCATTAAGACACCTTGTCTCTTGTACATGTCCTAAGGTGACTCTGTAGATTCCTCTTGAATTATGCTTTTCAAATTATCCTCTCAAATGGTGTTACTAACCCTGAAAAATTATTTCTCATATGACAACTTGATCAATTTTTACTTTGCTACAAATCTTAATGTTTTCTCACATGATTGATTGAAGTGCATGTCTATACCTATCTGGCACATGGCTTAATGCTATCATAGTCACAGTGGTTTTTCCTTAAACTTTATCTTAATACAGGTTGGCAGCAATGCTGGAATTGTTGGAATGACCAAGGAGCACCTAGGTCTGGCATTGGCACTTAATGTTCCAGTCTTTGTAGTGGTGACCAAGATTGATATGTGTCCGGCTAACATACTTCAAGGTAAATGGTTATTGCTACAACAGTTTTTCTTTGCTTTGTTCATCTCAGTTGTGCTAAGAAGGGACTTGAATTTGCTGCCTTCTGATTTCTAGCTTGGTTTCTTAATCACATCAGACTGACTCTCACTACATATATGGTACAAAATTTCCCACATCAGCCTTGAGAAAAGTTCAAAGTGACCCAAAGTGCTTTTATGACTGAAGGCAAAGCTGAACTGCTCAGTCATATACAAATGTAAATAATAATAGTAGGGTGCAATCCCAAAAGAACTGGAGCATCACTTGGGCATCATTGGCATTGACAACACCACCAGTCAATTGCAAAAGGCATCCTTACTTGGAATAGCTTACATTCTGTGAAAATACCTTTAGCACCATCAAACAATAACATCTTCCTATCCCAGATCCTTGGAAGGACTCTATAGGTGAATACAAAAACAAAATCCAGGCTCACTGTGCAAGAAACCATAAGAGCATTAACAGTCCCTATTCTGTTTAACACCTTAATCACTATATTATCTTGGCTTTCTTTTCGGTTTTTCTGACCTTTTTCTATCTCTTGTTGTGGTTGATGCTTTCAAAGAAAGTAGTGGCATCATATTAAAATATTAATTTACAGTCACTGCCAATTATTAATTTGACGCCCTTTGAGGTAATTCAGATTAAAAAAAACAGATACAACATGGATTCTAGGACTGCTCTTTATTTTCATAAGGTTGAATTACAGAATCTTGATGTTCTGTGCATATTTCTCTTAATTTATCCTAAACAAAATTAAGGTGGGGTTATTTTGAGTTTCTTTGCCATACAGGTAATCCTCAAATTACAACAGTTTATTTAGTGATGGTTCAAAGTTAACAACGGCACTAAAAAATGTGACTTATGACGGTTTTTCACACTTGTGACAGTTGCAGCATCCCTGTGGATATATGATCAAAGTTCAGATTTTTGGCAATTGACTCATATTTATGACAGTTCCAGTGTCTCAGGGTCATACGATCACCTACTGATAAAGTCAACGGGAAATCCAGATACAACCATATTACTAACTTAAGCGCAGTGATTCACTAACATCTGTGGCAAGAAAGGTTGCAAAATGGGGAAAATTAATGTAACAATTGTCTCACTTAGCAACAAAAATGTGGGGCTCAATTGTGGTTGTGAGTCGAGGACTACCTGTATTTCCCCCTATTTAGGATTGTGTAATCTTTTCTTCAGGTCTCTCTAACAGCTTGCTCATTGCTTCCCTATTTCCAAGGTCAGCTCTGTAACCCTTTATATTTGTATTGTTTTTAAGCTCCTGTTCTCTTTATTGGGATTAAAATAATTAACCCAGCCATCCAAAGTCTCTCTTGATAGCGATAACATAAGCATCGTTGCCACATAATGAAATTTCCAATTCATTTTTAACAAAGTCAAATCTATAGCACTTTTTATCCAGTTTAAATCTTTCTCTCTCATAGATAGAAAGATATTTATTTTATAAATATCCAAGTCCTGGCTGTTCCAGCAGGCTGGGGGGATCTGAGAAGCATCTACCTCCACGGAAATTGTGAATGTTGGTTTTGTTTTTAATATGTTGTCTTTTTCTCGTTCCCCCCTTTCCCTTGTCTTTTGTGAACCGCCCGGAGTCCTCCGGGAGTGGGCGGCATACAAGACAAATAAATAAATAAATAAATTTTATACAGTTTATATTTTTTTCACCCATTTGATAATGTAAGATGAAGAGTTATGGGTATTCCTTTCCATGACTATCTTTAATTTTTTCCCTGATTGTTGTGATAGTTTATTAGTTCTTTCTAGATATTTGAAACTTAAATTACGGAGGATAGATCTTAATATGGAAAATATTTTGCTTAATAACTAGTTTATAAATGGTTTTACTTCTGGAGCTGTTTGTACACATAATTTATGAGTATAGCATTTTGCAAACCCAGAAAAAACTAAGAATCTGGCAGATGATTATATTGGCTTATAACCTATCTATGAGTTATAAGCATATAAGTATTTAACCATAACTATGGCACCTATAGCAGGCATTTTCAGTTAGCAAGTATCCTTGGGTTTACAGATAATTCTGCTCCACCCACCAACCTGACGTCATCAAGGACCTTCTGCGCATGTGCAGATAATTCTGCACATGCCCAGACGTGCGTTCCTGCTACCGAACCGGTAGTGAAGAAAATAGAATACCGTCTCTGCACCAATGGTCTTTAAACTTGACTCTTTCACAAAATTTATCGATTATAGGCTGTTCTTGACACCTGTCTTTCGCAAGAGCATCTTCATTTATTCCTTGCTGTGGTATGTAATTCATGGGGAAATTATTTTTTGCTGCCAAAGACAAGCTATTGTCTTTGTGTAAAAGAACACTGAATGCCAAAAGCACTTCGGTGTAGAATTTACTGCAGCGGGGCCTTTCTAAGAGAACAGACTGACCGGAATAGGATCCGTTCTGACACCTTCACAGTTATGTTGGCAAATGAATGAGGCTGCCTGCTCCTGGGCAAAAATTGCATCCATTAGTCTCTCTCTATATTATTATTATTATGGTGATAAAATGGATATTCTGGGCTTCCTGGTGTCTTTCTTTATTTTACCATTTTAATATTGGGTGTTAAAAGCAGAATGCAAGGGAAGCAGTGGTGGACTGAAGGCAGCTTTGTTTTTTGTGGAATGAAAAGCCTTGAAATTCTGGATAAAGAGAAGGACCTGGGATCCCCCACAAGTGCTTCCTAAAGATGCTGCCAAGTGTTGCATAGAGATGCTGACTGCAAGGAGAACCATTAATAGTGGTCTCCAGTGGGTGTTAAGAGTTCTAGCAGCATAGTGAAAACTAGCTTTCCCCAGTTTAGAACTTTGAAATGGACACTGGTTTTACCTACTTCCTCTCTTAAATCACTTTAAGAAATGGCTTGTTAACTACTTTTGGGATATTAAGAACCTTCAGAATATCTTTCATCACACCGGATGATTCTCCTTCAACCCATAGTGAAAGACATTTCATGTACATTTAAGGATTTATTTTTTTAAAATTCTGAAATAAATAGCAAAAGAGTAATTATATTGATTTTGGAAAGTTTTAAACAGACTGAGGGTTTAGATGGATTGGAAATATGATTTTTGAAGCTAATTGGATTGTTTAAAATGCTATCACAATATATATAAGGATTTTGAATCTAAGTGTAAGAAATCTTGTGGGAAAATATTGAGGATAAAGGCAACCAGAAAGAGTAAAAGATAATTAAAGGAGAAGAGGCCCACTAATACAAAACAGAAAATATTTTAACTTTGGAAGAATTGGTAACAGTGCACTCAGAAATTTCTCTTGCTATCATAAAAATGGGTTTAAAAGAATAGATGGATAGAAGAAGGTTTAAGTGAGAATCAGGATGTTTTGGATATGGATTTAAAAATAATAAGATACAAGAATATATTGTAAGTCCTATATAACAAGATGTTATATAGGATTTACAATGAAACCCTTGAAGTCTTAATAAATAAATGGAACACATAAATTATAGAAGAGTGATTTGAACAACTTTCTTATTTTGGACTTATCAAGAGATGTATTACAATCATGAAGGAATTCCTGAGGTTAACCCCCCCCCCAAAGAAATGGTTTCTTCATTTCATAACAATAAATTCATAACATACAAGTTATTATTTAAAGGGAATAAACTTCAAGATTTTTAAAATTAAAAAGAAAGAATATAAAATTGGCTTATGAGACTAAGATTTAAACTACATATTCTTTTTAGTAGCTTAATTTTAAAAAAAAACTAGGACTGAATGAGGAGGCTTTAAATACTTGCTTATAGGTAAGATATCAGAAGAAGGGAGATTATGTGTCTGTGTATTTTAAGAGAAAATGATAAGTTATGGTGTTAAAAAACGTTGGCTTAAACTTGCAAAGCAGTTTCTAAGAGGAGACAAAGAGGAAATGATAAGAAATGAACTTTAAATCAAAGGGATTAAAGATGATGGTTTTAAATTTGTTGCTGTTTCTAGCAGCTCTTGAAGGATTTTTCTTGACAGTTCAAAAGAGGAGACAACAGTTTGTTTATATATGAGATGAGAAATGGGAAGATTATTCTTTGTATTAGAGAAAACAAATTATTGTGTTAAAAGTTAAGGAATACAAAATGATTTATTTGATTATAGTTGAAATATATATGTTATTATTTTGGGTAACCCTTAGTGGACTTTTACTGATTAAGATTGAATGACCAGTCTTCATAATTTGTTCAAAGATGAGAATGAGATACGGGAAAATGAGCTTTTGAAAAGTTAAAGAAGGTGGTCAGCTACTAAAAATATTTGTACTTAGTGAAGGGGGCAATCATTTTTTTAAAGGTATATGTAATAGAGAATAAAAGTTGTAAGCAAGCAAGAACAAGGAGCTGTTTTAGGGTCTCCAAAGTTCTACAGTCTTTAAAATTTAATTTGTTTAACCCCATGGTGTTAAAGTGTCCCACTGAAAGTCTATATCTCACTTTCTAAATTCTAGCTCTACTTAAGACTTCCCCCATTTTTAAAATAAATTTTGAAATCCTGGTGCTCCAGGCATGTAAATATTTCAAATAAATTGAAAGTGTACTTATCTGCTGTATAACTCTGAAACAGTTTTGATATACAGGTGAAACTCGAAAAATTAGAATATGTACAAAAGTTCATTTATTTCAGCAATGCTACTTAAAAGGTGAAACTAACATATGATAGACTCATTACATGCAAAGCAAGGTAGTTCAAGGTAGTTCAAGATTTGTCATAATTGTGATGATTATGGCTTACAGCACATGAAAACCCCAAATCCACAATCTCAGAAAATTAGAATATTACATGCAAAGGTGCAAAATTCTAGGAT